CCACCACCCCCACTCCAGGACCGGAGACAGGAGGCAGAAGCCTCCGGTCGCCCACTCCCTTCCCCTCCCCCACCACCCACTCCCAACAGGCACTGAGGGGAATGTAGGGTTGCCAGCTCTAAGGAGGGAAATACCTGGAGGTTTGGGGGGTGGATTCTGTAGAGGGCAGCATTGGGCGGGGGGGGGGCGGAAGGACTCAGCAGGTATAATGTCATAGGGTCTACCCTCCAAAGCATCCATTTTCTCCAGGGGAACTGATCTCTGTCATCTGGAGATCAATTGTAGCAGTGGGAGATCTCCAGGTCCCACCTGGAGATTGGCAACCCTAGGGGGAAGTCAGCTGCACAGCAGGGGGTTGAAGAGAATGGTTTGATGGCTGCTGGGCCAAGATTGGCAACAATAGTTCCCCAGGAGCCCCATCGTAAATGCACCAAACAATTCCTCAAGATTTTCCAAAACACTACTCTGTTTTGGGCTCCTGGGGAACTTTGAAGTAGCACCAAAGCTTTAAGATCTCTCCAGCTGTCACCTGGAGACTGGCAACAGCTTGTCTGGAGTGTGGGCAGTATGGCATTGTATCTGTCTGAGGTCCCCCTCTTCCTCCTCCTCCTCAGACCCCACCCTCAGCAGGCTTCATCCCTAAAATATCCTGGAAGTTGGCAACCATCAGCCAACCTTTATCTGCCTGTCTGTCTTAAGTTTTACAACCCCCCCCCACAGCCTCTGCCTAGGGAAAGGGCAGCTGACATCATTCTCCTCTCCCCTATGAGGTATGTTATGCAACTGAAAATCCCAACTGCCTTGCGGGGGGGTGAGTTTGAGGTGTGGAATGGAGTGTAGTCCAATCAGCTTCCATATGCAAATAACCTTGGGACGCTGGGCGGGACTGCACAAAGCAGCCAGTCAACCCAGCCAGTCTCTTCTGAGTGGCAGTTTTTCCGGCCTAACACTAAAGGGGCCAAATTTAGAATGTTGATATAGAATGTTCTTACTCAATTATATATAAGGAGAGATGTATTAGCTGGGATTTTATGGAAATTATATTTTATATTTTGTAGTTGTTGGTTTTAACTGAATGTTGTTTTTAAATTGTTTGTAAGCTGCCCTGAGCCGCCTTGGTGGGAGGGCGGGGGTAGAAATTGAATAAATAAATAAATAAAAATATCCATCTTTGGATGATAAGTCAGTCTTCTATTTAAATAAAAGTGTATTTCTATTACATAAACTATTAGTGTCTTTTAGGATTGGGCTGTGCATAGATAGCCCAACTCCATTATTGGGTGGCAACCCTAACTGGTATTCTGTTATTGTGAGCAAACTGGGCAATAAACCACAACTGTAGCCAGGTGTCTACATTTTATGGGAGAAGCTGGAAAATGAATGAATGTCTGGAGAATAAAGTTGCCAATAATGCTGGCGATTTGGGGCAGGCCTTGAGAAGGGTGGAGAAGGGTAGGGAGCTCAGACTGTATGTGATGCCATGCAGTCCACCTTCTGAAGCTGTCATTTCCAAAAAAAAAGGAATTGATTTATGTAGTCTGGAAATTAGTTGAATTTTCAGGAGAACTCTAGACCTTATCTGGAGGCTAGCCACCCTAGCAAAGAAGTGGCCACTGGTCCTGGGGGCTTGACCCTCATGTTCACTAGCATACAGTTCTTTTTTCATCAGTGCTACCCTCAATAATGGCATTCTTCCAATGGACCAACCAAATCTGTACCTCATAATTAGGCATGATTTAACAGGCCCAGCAAATTAAATTATACTTGGTATAATTTAAGGTGCATAAACTTATTTTGGAATGAACTTTGCCAAGTAGCTGAGTATTGAGTAGGTGGTTCTGGGAACTCAAAGGCCAGCTCTTCAATTTTTTGGATGCATCTGCTGCCTCTCTTACAGCTCCAGTTAATCATATCAAGAAGGGCATGTGAGAGCTGGTAGAAGATTAGAGCTAAACAATCCAGGTACAAAGTGTCACTCTCCCCTATTTCAGGGTCCATATTTCCATGCCGTAGTTTGCATTCATGTCTCCAAACAAAAGCTTTTAAAAATCTGTATGAACAGTATCACAATAAGGTGATCTCATTAAAATTAATCCTAGAGAAATAATCTCAACCCAAATTCATGTTAACAATGACCTTTTTTACTGGAAGAAATGGACTTGAAATCTCTCTGAAAATAATACACTTTTATTAAAAAGGTGGACAAAGCTCACTTATTTGGCACTATGCTTGTGAGTGCAACAGGATGATTCACCTTTATGGGACAGCTATTTAGAACACCTATCTTGAGCATTATGCATAAAGTAACCTCATGTGTTGGCCCATGGCATCACCACTGACTGTTTAGCTACAATTAGGCAGTGTTCAAGTTCATTCTAAAAGCCGAAGTTACCATCAGCAGGTGTTTGCTCAGTGATCCAAGCATGGCAACCACCAATGCATATCTCGGTGACCATTTGCTTTTTCTGGATAGCATTTCAGCCATTCTGTGGTTGGTCTAATCCCCCTCCCCCATGGAGACATTATGTTGCAGTGCCCACTAACTGTTCTCAAAATTCCAGAAGTGTCCATAGGCTCCACAAGTTTGGGCATGCCTGCATTAGCAGATGATAATGTTTAGCTCCATGCCATGAAAAACATTACTTACCAATTGCTACAGACAACATTTTGATAAACAGAAGGGACATAACACACTGATTTTTTTCCTGCTCATTTGGGAACATAAGCAAATCAGAACTTGGCCAAAGTAGGTACAATTACAAAGTTTGACATATCACATAATTAGGAGGCTGTGCCATAGCCATTTCAGTTATTTTTCTGCTGCAAAAGACATAAGAACATAAGAGAAGCCAATGCTGAATCAGGCCAATGGCCCATCTAGTCCAACACTCTGTCACACAGTGGCCAAAAATACCAGGTGCCATAAGAAGATCCAGCAGTGGGGCCAGGGGCTATACTAAAAACAAGTCATTGCATGTAAAAACTCCATGTATTAGCAAGACTTGAATGCAGGGACAAGCATGGCTCTGTCACTCTTCCATATCATCATTTTTACTTAACATTTATATGTAAGTTGTTTTTTTACTGATTCTCCCCACATACATTTATTTTAAAAGTGTGTACAAATAGTAAATATTGGATTCAACCCAGCTTTTGGGATGGTGAAAAAATAAGGAGGAATTTTCTTTAACAACATAGAAAGGCTATGTTGTGTATCATGGGACTTGCAAAAACAAGGAATTAGTTGAAGCTGAATGAAAAATTGAACTGGATCCAGCCTTATTAGACATCTAATCTCTTTTTATTTCCTCTATAACCTTCTACTTCTAGATGTTTTCATTTTGAAAAAAAGTAGATCATGGAGGATGTATCAATTAACACATATGCTAACCATGTCATTGCTGTGTCCCATATAATTTTTTTTGGGGGGAGGGGGACTCATTTCACCTCTTTGACAGTCACTACTTCAAACAATGTTGTTTTCAAATTTACATTTCTAAAAGAAAAGAAAATTTTAACCCTTCCCTTCTTCTACCCAGACATAGTTCTAGGTTACCACTATTTTTGAGAGGGTTATTTATTTATTTTTATTTTTTAAGTGTAATAGAACAAAACAACTGCCAGACCAACCAGAGATGAGAAGGTGAGTATGCAGAGAGGTTGGCTGAGTTCAGACTGGCAGTTAGAAGCGCAATGGAGTCATGGCAAAAAAGAAGCACGAGGGAGTCATGGCAACTTGTTCCAGATTTTCCCGGTCACACTGCAGGGACTTATGCGGGAGCATGCTGGAGAAGAGGTGCAAGGGAGTGTTCACACTGTTGGCCTGAGGCACGGCATTCTGTTTGCTGACCAATCTGAGAGATATGAGAGATTTGCTGACCAATCTGGAGATATGACCAATCTGGAGATATGTGCATGTGCACATGAGTGCATAAGCGCTCATGTGCACATAGGTGCATAGGCATGCCAGCAATTGCAGCGTTTGGCATTCACACTACCGGAAAGCAGGATGAACGGGTTTGCTACCACTTTAAACTGGTATCTTTTTAACATGCGACGGAAGCATGATAGCATGGGTTGAGTATGGCTTGGGAACGCCTGACAGATGTGCCTGTGTGAACGCACACTTTAATCCGTTTGTGGAACGTGCCTATCGCGGGGCAAACTGCCAGTCTGAACACGGTCCATATCATGTAAAGAGGGCCAAAGGAGGAGAAGAACGCAAATGGATCCATTATTAACTGAACCTTCCTTTATAGGCTAAAGTTTGTTCAAGTGCCTCAGCAGATTGAAATTTAAAACAAAATTAATACTGATAATGCTCCACCTGATAACAGCAATCTATGAGTGGAAGACAAGTTTGCTCATGAGGATGGTAATGGTACAGCTGCTGCTTTTATTTCTGTGCCATGCTGTAGGCGAGAAGCATTCCATTCATTGCGCCACAGCCGCTGACCTTTTTCCTATTCCGCATGCATTTTATAAGCCTGGTGACCTGATTGTTGGTGAAATTGTTTCTCAAGTCTTCTACGTATACAACACTCCCTCATTCAAAAAGCAGCCTGCACAGTTGTACATTTCTGAACCCATGTAAGACATTCATTCATATTACCTTTTTGCAATTAATTAATTTAATTAAATAATCAAAGTGTACGGTACTTTTCAAAAGTAAGGGACGATTGGGTCTTGTGAACAGAAAAATTATAATCTGATGCATGGAAGACTGAAAAAGGAGCAGAGGGAGGTGGAGTCAAGGCAAGGAGAAAGGGGAAGGAGAAGCTTATCTTACTATTGTCTCAGTAGGGGGAACTAAAGGGTCATGCTCCCATTCAAAACCTACTTGACCACTGCAGTCAGCTCCTGAGGCAGTGCTTTGGGTGACCTCACCTTCTAACTATGGAGGTACTTTTCAGTCTATAAAATGCAGAGTGTTTATGTTCTTTGGCTGATTGCAGTAAAATAGACCCTTCTGCTGTAGTCATAATTGTTAGGTTCCTGGGTATGATATAGTACACAAGGCTTACATGCAGCAGCAGCAGCTTCTCAGTACTGTGTGTGTTAGCAAATTTACAGTTACATGGAACCACTTGTCAGTTCCAAACTAATAAGAGTCCTTTATTTAGGAAACGACATTCTAGATAGTATAGGTTGAGAGCTAGGGATAGAATCTGATCTAATTAGCTATGATGGTTGCAGATGGAGAATGGTGCCAAAGATGGAGAATGTGCTCCTTCTTTGTGTGTGTGAGAGAGATATGTTAAGCCAGAGGGAAGGAAGTCTTGTTACTAAGAATAGCATTCTACTTGAAGGGATAATATCAGATAACAGGAAGGAAAGGATTCTCTGTGTGTCCTGACCTCTCTATCTGTCTCTATGGTTCTGTTTCTGAAGTCTGAAGCAGGGGACAGCATACACTCCACCACTTCCAACAATAATTACACAATATAGGCAAAAATCAACCCATGAAGTCAATTGAGCTGGCCGGGCAGCGTGGCATGTTCCCCCCCCCGGTGGTACTTCCCCCTCCCCCTGACCAATTTCAGGTTCTATCATAGACCATCCTGGGAGTGGGACAGCGTGATTTTTCTGCCATTGCCCAGCCCTCCAGCTGCCCACATGGCTCACCCTGCCTTTTATGATGTGGCTGGCCATAGCCACCGTCGCCCCTGCTGGCTCTCCCTGCCCGTGCAGGGCTGCAATCAGGCCTTGTGGGTGAGTCAGGGCCCTAGCTTCATGGCACTGAGACAAACATTTTCATCTGTTCATGACAAGTCACTGTTAAAAACATTACTACAAAGGGCTTGTTCAAAAATAGAGAAGCATAGAGGAAGAAACTCCTTGTGGGAATGAAGGAATACAAATATGAAGAATTAATGAAGAAAATATTTTGTTCTTTGGCTATCAATCTAATATACAACTCTCATTGTAGATCGGTGCCAAAGAACTACCAGCACAATTTGGCCTTGGCTTTTGCTGTAAAAGAGATCAATGGGAATCCCAACATCTTGCCAAACATCACTTTGGGCTTCCACATCCTCAACAGCTACTACAATGCAGAGATGACCTCTAAAGCTACTCTGAGCTTGCTTTCTTCACAGCACAAGTTTGTCCCCAATTTCAAGTGTGACACACAGAGCAATCTGGTTGCAATCATTGGAGGACTGAGTTCAGAGACATCTGCTCATATTGCCAACACAGTTGCAATTTACAAGATACCACAGGTAGGCCATCCATACAAGTTGATGAAAATTTCACTCCTTTGACACATGACTGAATGGTATGTTTCATTCTATCTGAAAAAGTATGCTTTTTCCAGCTTGCTTATGGATCAATCTCTCCAGTGCAGAGCAATAAATTGTTACTCATTTCCATGTATCAGATGGTCCCCAGTGAAGCCACTCAATATATGGGATTTATCCAGTTATTTCGCTACTTCAGATGGACCTGGATTCTACTGTTTGTTTTGGATGATGACAGTGGGGACAAGTTCTTGCAGATGATGGTGCCAATGCTTTCTGAGAATGGCATCTGTTTTGACTTCACTGTAAGACTACCAAAACAGACTTATTTCCAAGATGTGATGGATGCACTTATAAGGCCACCGGAATATTTATTTTTTCTCACTCATACCAAAGCCAATGTGTGCTTTGTATATGGAGAAAACTCATCCATGTTCATTTTGAGAATTTTGCTGTTTTTAGGACCCTTCATTTCATTTCCTTCTCTTCATAAAGTATGGATTATTACATGCCACTGGGACTTTGAATCAGTCTCTGTCCAAAGGGTTTGGGATATAGAAACCTTCCACGGTGCCCTATCCCTTGCAGTTCACTCCCATCAACCACCTGGATTCCAAACATTCCTGCAGTCCATAAGCCCTTCCTGGGCAAAAGAAGATGGTTTTATCCAGTACTTCTGGGAGCAGGCATTCAGCTGCTCACTGAAAATGTCCAGGGTCCAAGGGGACAGCAAGGAAATTTGCACTGGTACCGAAAAGCTGGATTCCATTCCAGTGACTTTGTTTGAAATGAGCATGACTGGCCACAGCTACAACATCTACAATGCTGTGTATGCAGTGGCACAAGCTTTGCATGTCTTCTGCGTATTCACATCTAGACACAGAAGAATGGAAGGAGAAAGGGGTCTAAAGTTCCAGAATGTGCAACCATGGCAGGTAATTTTATCTCAAAGACATTCCATTATTTTCACTGCAGACAGACTTTATTAATTTATTTTTTTTGAATGTTTGGACTCTGTATCACCTACTCAAGATGAAATATAAACCCAATAACACCACAGTATATTTAATATACAAAAATAGTGGGTAGCAATGATACAGCTATATATCAATAAGCAGATGGAAGCAATGACCTAAAGAAAGCTTTCAGACCCAGCAACAATATATTGATTGAACATGTTATAAGTAGCAAATAAAAGCCCCCAAAACCTCCACTGGTAACAGAGACTCTAAAACAAAGTACCAATATTAAATACCACCTCTAATACAAGATTTAGAAACAGCTAAACAAATTCCAGCAAAAAGCAGGATATCTTTTAAAAAATCATTCCCTGAGAGCTTGGGAAAATCAAAATGTCCTCATCTTCCTTTATTTATTTTATTATTCATTTACAGATTTTTAATACTTTCTTTTCTCTAAGTTTAGGTTCCCCAAGACAACAAATAGCCAGAACCATTTAAACAAGGCTTAAAATTTGCATACACATTTACAGCCAGATAGATATCTTTAAAAACACATAAACAGGAAGGAGAGTCAGTGAAAGAAAATGCCACGGGTGTGTGGGGGGGAGCCTTAACATAAAAGTCTTCACCCACTGGCCGAAGATAATGATAGAAGGGGAAGGAAAATCTCCTCTGGGAGAGAACTGTATAATTTGGATCACACAACCAAGGAGGTCACCCTTCCAGGGCCTCCCAGATGATCATAGTGGACAGGTAGGTTCATATGGCAGTAAGCTGGCTAGAACTGCATAAGGCTTTAAAGATCTATTCCAGTACCTTGAATTGAGCCTGAAAGCAAATTGGGAGCCAGTGCAGATGCACCAAGACTAGAGTGATATGGGTTAAATTAGTGGGCCCAAAAGGAAACTTAACACTGGGAGTTTGTTATCGCCCACCAGATCAAAAGATAGAGGAGGATTATAAAATGATGAATGAATTAAATTATAAAATGATGAATGAATTAAAGATAGCAGCTAGACAGAAAAACTGTGTTGTAATAGGTGATTTTATCTACCCACACATTGATTGGGTCAATATGTGTTCTAGTCGAGAAAAAGAGATTGCGTTTCTAGACACTCTAAATGACTGTGCTATGGAGCAAATGGTCACGGAACCTAAGTAATGCTCAAGACCTGGTGAGAGATGTAAAAGTGATTCCATCGCTTGGGAACAGTGATCATAATGTTATTGAGTTCAACGTTTGTATAAATACATATGTATTTATATGTAATCTTTCCTTAAAATCTGCCTCCATTCCTGAGGACTGGAGGGTAGCTAATGTCACTCCCATCTTTAAAAAGGGTTCCATCAAGGGAAGTTGATTGTTTAAGTGGGTCATGGGAGGGTGTCATTCTATGTCCCCATGTTATACTGATTTCATTCTTTACTTGACCGTAGTGTTTGTACGACTGTCTCAAGCTTTATTGTTCAAGACTTTTGAAAAAGTAATACAATTTAATAAATAAATAAAAATAAATAAAAAGGGTTCTAGGGGAGATCTGGGAAATTACAGGCCAGTCAGTCTGACGTTGATACCGAGTAAATTGGTGGAAACCGTTATTAAGGAAAGAATTAGTAGGCACATAGATGAACAAAACTTATTGAGGCAGACACAGCAAGGGTTCTGTAAGGGA